CCGTCTGCCGGTCTGGGACAAACCCTCGGTAACCGCAACTGCACGCGAGCCCGTGAAGGCTACTGAATGCCGGGATTTGAACAGAGCCAAAGGCCCTGGGAAGAAAGGCCTGGTGGTTTTCTAATGGAAGGTGCGCAGCTCTGCTCTCAGGCACAGGCTCCCCCGAGTGGGAGTGGGTTGATGGCAAGGGGGGCGTGTTGTTGAACCTCGTCAATCAGTTAATGTCATCCTCTTGGCTACAGGGATGGACTCAGAGGCGGTGTGTGACCCGAGCAGATCCACGAGGCCACTTTTCCCCTTTAGCTAGGTCTTTCAGGAGCCCTGGCCGTGTACTGGTGATGCGTACACTGGGCTGTGACCCACGGGCAGCAGTTGGAAACCATCAGCTCCGTGGGGAAAGATTGGGCTTTCTACTCCCCTCAACAGTTTCAGTCTCGGAAACCCACAGCGGGTCAGAAGGAGTCAGCACTGACTCGATGGCACTGAGTGTGGGGTTTCTGGTTTTCGGGGATGGCGCTCTCCTTCTGCTGGGTCTGCTAAGCTGGAAGGAAGTGGGCCTGGAGGTGCTGGTGTTTTTTCTGCCAGCCCAAAGGGGATGCTGGGCTGAGGATGATGCCAACAGAGAAGAGTGCAGAGAAAGAAATGGAGACAGGCTGATGTTCCAGGTGATGCTTGGGCCTGCCTCAAAGCCAGGCTTACTGGTAGCCACTCCCTGGAATATCTGAGTACTCACAGTCCTGGTGGCATAGTGGTTACTCATTGGGCTGCAAACCACAAGGTCAGTTTCCATCAGCCCCTCAGAGGGAGAAAGATGAGGCTTTTACTCTTATAAAGAGTTACCGTCTGGGAACCCACAGGGGCAGTTCTGGTCTGTCTTATATGGTCGCAGTGAATTGGACCAGGCTTGCCGGCAGTGAGTGGAATGAGTCTATCGAGGAGTTCTCTTGTTTTGCTTAGGAAAGATCCAACTGGGTTTCTGTCACATGCAACCCCAATTTTTCTGGCCTCAGGTTCAATGACCTGCCTTGGGCACAGACGAAGCCTTCAAGGGCTTGCAGGTCCCAGGAGAGGGCTATGACACCGGGCATCCTGGAGGTGCCCGGGGGCATTGAGACAGTGCGAGGTCAGAACACACAAGCTCTGCAAAGGAAGGACTTGCTGGGTGAAGCAGACCGAGCCTTGAGCCTGAGAGACTCACATGACCTAGCCAAACCTGGGCTCAGAAACGGCTCAGTTCACCAGGGGGGGACACTCACTTGGGAACAATGATAGAGCCAGACATGTGCCAGCAGAGGTCGGGAGGATGCTCCCCAGACATTTGGTTGCCAGATGACATACGGGACACCTAGTTAAAACTGCATTTCAGGTAAACAACACATTTCCAGTATAAATGTGTACCAAAGATTACATGGGATATAGCCTACTGCCATCAAATCAATTTTTGACTCAAGGATCCTATCTAGGTTTTCTGAAGCTGTGAATCTTTATAGGAGCAGACAGCTTCATCATTCTCCTGAGGAGTGGTTGGTGGACTTGAACCACTCACCTTGTAGTTAGTTAGCAGTTCAGTGCTTACCTGGCAGCACCATTTCCTTGGACTGAAACATTATTTGTTTATTTAAATTAAAATTTAACTAGGCAACCTGTGCTTTGGTTTCTAAACTTGACGACCTTAACCAGATGCCATGAGAAGCAGTGGTGGCTCAGTGGAAGAACTCTCACCTTCCACAGAGGAGACCTGGGTTCAATTCCCAGCCAATGCGCTGCCACCAGCCATCTGCCACGGGAAGTCTGAGTGTTCCTATGATGTTGTACAGGTTTTAGGGGTACTTCCAGATTTAGACAGACTAGGAAGAAAGGCCTGGTGATCTACATCCCCAAATTAGCCAGTGAAAACCCCATGGATCACAAGTCAGCATTTGGTGAGCATGGGGTCACTATGAGTCCAGGGCCACCACTAACAGGAGCAGCCACATCCCAGACTGTTTGCTGGTTGTCGGGCTTCACTCAGTGGTGTCTGGGAAGTGGTGGCCAAGGATGAGGGCCACCAGGGTATGTCCAAGTCCATTCTGGAATTTCACAGCTGGTTCTTGGTGAGGAGGAGGCCAGAGGATTCTGGGTAACATGGGCACATGTACCATGCTAGGTAGCCTGGACAACACCGCTCACCCGGGAGAGACCAAGCTCCCTCAGGAATTCTGTGCTTCTCAAGTTGCCTCCTCTTGCGCGGGGACAGCAGGATACCGATTGTCTCGACTCAAACAATACAGTCACAACTGCTTAGCTTTCTTCTCATGTTTATTAGCACATTTCCCTGCTGCCTATAAATCACAGTTGATCATTGGGAGGTGGGAGGAAGAAAAAAAATCCCCTTTCATCCCCCTCTACCTGGCTGCAACCAAAGAAAGAAGAAACCAACATTGACCATACTTCTGTGCCAGAAACTGCCGCTCGGATAGCTTCAGATAGGAAAACAGCCGTATTGCTCGGATTGCAAAAGCAACACAAGCTCTTTACATCCAGATTGAAAAGATAACTCATAGAGCCATACAGAAGGGAGTGAAATTCATCCATGATCTGAAGTGCGCTCTGCCTGCTTACCTCCCGCCTTGTACATCCACTGTGCCCCTCGTCCTATGGCTGTGGTGTGCCATGAAGTCAGTTCCCTCACAGTGCAGACAGGGTAGTGTCCCCCACTGTTGTACATGTGGCCCTGCAGAGTGCTGCCCGCCAAGTGATGGGGCCTCTATGCAGACAAGGAAGCGGAGGCTCAGGGAAGCCCAGAACCTTCCCCCCGCTGCCCGCCCGTCTCCCACCCCAAGGGGCACTGAAGTCCCCGTGGACTAGCTGCCTTTCTCTTTCCACCAAGGCATGTGGGATGTGGTCGGGCCAAGGGACGGTCGCTGAGGAACCAAGTGGATGAGATGTTGCCTGAACGGGGAAGGGTCCATGTCTCCAGGTTTGTTCTGTTTCACTACATCGTCAAAGGCTGCTTCCCATTTGTATTTTTGAAAAGAAAAACCAAAACGACCTGACTCCACTTGAGCTGATTATGAAGTGGCTGAGTTTCTTGGCTCTTATCCAGAGATGGGCTGTCTGAGGGAGCAGGTGAAGGAGGTGTGTTGGAAAGAAGAAAAATGCTTCAGGAATGAGAGACAGCAGAGCCAGGACACACCAAGACCATTCTCTGGAAAGAGCGGGGGACATGGCTAAGATGCCCCAGTCAGGCTTCCCCTTGGACACAGGCTGTGGCTCATGAACAGACAGACCGGGACGTGTTACGTTTTAGCAGTGATTTCTATGAGAATTTCGTCCCTGTGTTTCGAGTCTCAGGTCGCATCCCTTTCATATATCTGCTCACGTGACCTTGCAACGTAACCTTGCAACACCCCGCTTACAGATGAATATGCAGGGCACCGACAGATCCAGTCACCTGGCCTGGCAATGCAGCTGGCAACTGGAGGGGTCTTGGGATGAGGGTCTGGGTGACTCCTCGCTCTGAAGCTCTGTGGATTTCCTACTTCTGGGGGGATCTGGAGGAACACAGCCCAGACTCCGAAGTCCCTGCCTGCCTGGTGCTGTGGTGGGCAGGTGGCCGAGGAGGGCGGGGAAGGGGAGGAGACCACGCCAGGCCTTTCCCTCTCAAGCAGGATGGAAAACGCTGAAGCAGCCCAAAGGTTCATACAAGCTCTCATGTCACATCATGGAATACTGCCAGTTCGGATGGAGTCGATGCTGGTCAAAGTGACCACAGTGATTGCATGGTGGCTAGTTTTGCAGAAAGAGATCACCAGGCTTTTTCCCAAAGTATCTCTGGGTGGATTGGAGCTTCTAACCTTCGGTTAGCAGTTGTCGGTGCATTAACCATTTGCACCATCCAGGGACGTCTCAGGAGATAGTACTCAGCAAGGAGAAGGAACAAACCACCGATGAACAGCAATGTCTCTCTCAAAATAGGCTGAGCGAAAGAAGCCAGGTGCAAATGCATATGCACTGTCTGAGTGCAGTTGTGTGACTTCAAGAACCGGCCAAACTAATGGTGAAAACCCAGACCAGCAGCCAGCTTTGGAGGAGAGGTGGTTTCCACAGAAGGGGCTGGAGGGAACTTCTGGGGGTCACGGCGGATCTGCAAACCCGTCAAACGCCTTCCTCACCCTTCCCTTTACGTCTGCACTTCAGGGAGACAGTAACTGGAGGGGGGCACGGCAGGGGAGGACGCGGTGGGGGAATGGCCCGTGACAACAGAGTACGAGAAGAAAATGTTCTAAAATGGATTGCCTGTGATGAGTCTGCACAACTCTTCTCAATGTGATCGATGGATTGCATGGAGTATATGCCAATAAAACTACTGAGAGAGAAAGAAAGAGGAGGCCTCAGTAGAAAGGTGGTAAGCCTCTCCCCCAATGAGTTTTCACCTCCAGGATTTCATCCTAACAGACTGTGAGCACCTTACAGGCAGGCCTGGCTCTGATACATCTGCCTGCGCACTACCTGCACAGCTAGACACTTGGATGTAAATAGGGCGCGGGTTGGGCAGCTGAGTGACGAGGGCGTGGATGAGCCCGTGAGGAAATACAGGAGTGAACAAGTCCATGGTGGAGTGAACGAATCAAGGAGTGAGTGAACACGTGAGCAGGATGAACCAATGGGCAGGCATGGTTGGACTGAAGGATGGATGGGTAGATGAGTGGATAAGGGGATGTGTGACTGTGTGATTAACCAGGTCAAGGAGTCCCCTAATGTTCCTGGAGTGTGCATCCATCCTGCATGGGCTCCCCACCCTGGTTTTGCACTGCTGGGCAGGCGACTGCACCTCTCCATCTCCAAGCCTCGTGTGCCCCTAGATCAAATGGGAAGGGTGGGCTGTGGTGACAAAGATCACTGAGCCGACGTGCGCAATGCGTTTAGAATGATGCCTGGCAAAATAAGATCGCCCTAAATGTCTGTGCCTACGAAAGACATGCACACCCAGGCCCACCCGGCGCCTGCCCGGTACCTACCGAGCAACTGCACCTCGTCGGTGATGCCGTAGACGTCGATGAGCGCCCAGAGCGGGCCGCCCACGGCCACGCCGCAGTGGAAGAGCACGGGCTCGCCATCGTTGACGCTGTAGAAGACGCGGCCGTGGCGATCCGCCCAGTAGGCCAGCACGGTGTCCCGCAGCGCCAGGCTCTCGGGCAGTGCCTTGGCCCAGTAGCCGGGCCTCGTGACGAGGTCGGGACAGGCATACCTGGGGATGTCGTGGGCGCTCATGAGCGACGGGTCGTGTACCGTGAAGCCGAAGCGCAGCGCGCCGCTCCAGCCGGGGCGCACGGCCACCAGGCGCAGTCGCACCTGCTCGTACAGCCGGATGGGCCGCTGCGTGAACGTGACGCCGTTGCAGAAGCTGTTGCGGCGCGTCGCCCGGCGCGAGTGGCCATCCAGCCGCACGTTCTTGCCCTTGGCCTGTGCGTGGAAACGTGGCGCCTCACCCAGGACCGGCCGCCGATCAGGGCCGGGGCCACAGCACGGCCGCGTGGCCAGGAGGCGCGCCGGTGGGCTGGAGTCTGCTGGAGAGACAGACAGGGCGGTTAGCCTGCTCCAAACTCCCCAGGCCCCAGCCGTCTCTTCATAATCATTTTAATTAAATCCTGTTTTAATAAGACTGAGAATAGAAAAACTTGCCTAGGCTCCAGCCTGGACCACAGGGAGTCACTTTGGCAGCCACTGCCAACGAGCCGGGTGATGCCGCAGTAAAGCGGCTTCACCCACGCTAACCCACTTCACAGACAGGCAAATGGAGGCTCGGGCAGGCTGTAGCACTACAGTGCACTCAAGACCAGGGAGCTACGCACCGCAGCTGTCTTGCATTCAAATGACTTTTCTAACCCAATCCAATCCCTCCAGACCTGGATTCTGGGCTGCAGGGTCCCCTCCAAAAGGAGCAGGGAGCCGGGAATCTTGGGGAGTCGTGGAGGCATTTGGTTACTTTTCTCGGTGCAATGTATGTTAAAAAACAAGGCAGGCAGGATGTCGATTTGTCCTTTTAGCAGTCCAGTGTACTTTCAATATTCTTTCTAACAACACAAATCAAACGCATTGATTCTTGATTCCATGGCCAACTTTCACAGGCATATGATGCAGTGGAGAATACCATGGCTTGGGTCAGGCCCTAGGCTCAAATACCCTATTGCTCTTCAATACCCAAAAGAGCTCTTGTGCAGCAGATTTACCTAACTCAATACAGCTTTTGGTCTCTTGACTGCTGCTTCCATGAGCTTAGCTTGTGGATGTAAGCAAGACAAAAATCCTTGACAACTTCAACCCCATTTATCATGCTGTTGGTCCCCATGTGAGGACCTACTATCCACTTGTGAGGATTTTGGTCTTCTTTACATTGAGTCGTAATCCATACTGAAGGCTGCAATCCTTGATCTTCATCAGCAAGTGCTCACGTCCTTCTTGCTTTCAGAAAGCAAAGTTGTGTCATGTATATTCTGCAAGTTGCTAATAAGCCTTCCTCTAATGCTGATGCCACATTCTTCATCTAATCCACCTTCTCTGATGATTTGCTCACCACACAAATCGAACAAGTATGGTGAAAGGATACAACCCTGACCCACACCTTTCCTGATTTTAAACCACGCAGTGTTCCCTTGTTCTGTTCCCACAACTGCCGCCCGATCCGTGTACAAGCTCCACACAAGCACCATGAAATGTTCTGGAATTTCCATTCTTCCCAAGCTTATCCACAGTTTATTAAGGTCCACAGTGTCAAATGCCTTTGCATGATCCATGAAACACAAGTGAACACATTTCTGGCATTCTCTACTTTCATCCAAGACCCATCTGACATCAGCAGAGACATCTCGTGTTCCACGTCCTCTTCTGAATTCAGCCTGAACTTTCGGGAGTTTCCCTTCACGGTACTGCTGCGACCACTGTTGAATGACAGTGAGATTTTGCTTCAGAGTAAACCAAATGATCGCCCCATTCAGAATGGAAAATACCTGTCCATTTCACCTCGTTAATGCGTAGAATATCTGTCCTCACTCAACTCATTTTCAATTTTCCGAGATTCAAACTTTGTACGTCTCACATTCTGATTAATAATGGATGTGTGCAGCTGTCTCTTCCCAGTCAGTGTCATGACACATCCACAGACGAAGGTCCTGAAAGTTTTACTCCATCCCCATCACTGAAGTCAACGCTACTGTGAGGGGGCAGCTCTCCTCCAGCCGTAGTTTGAGTGCCTTCCAACCTGCGGGGCTCATCTTCCAGCACTATATTTTACAGTGTTTGCACTGGATAATTAAAATGTTGTATAACTATCTCTCCAAGTCCTTCTGTCTTGTCTGTCTTAGTCTGAAGCTCTGCTGAAACCTGTCCACCCTGGGTGACCCTGCTGGTATTTGAAATACCAGCGAACTAGCTTCCAGCATCAGGGGAACAACATGCCAGCCACTGCAGTATGACAAACTGATAGATAAGTGGTGGCTGCCCTTAATGGCTAATTAGTAAGCATGACGCTAACACTGAGGATAAAAAGGAAACTCGTGCCAGGATTCTGTGGCTTCCTCTCCCTTTTACCTGCAGCTTTATAGGAGGGCATGCTTAGCAAGCCAGGCCGGTGTTTCCAAATGTACACCCTGTCCCGTGGGATTCATGTCTTAGAAGGCAATCTTGAGATGGCAACTAGCCATGAACCCAAGCCTCCCAATAGCAAGGTGGGTGGCTTCACCCTTCCCACTGGCCTTCCCTCCATCCCAGGGGCAGTGTTTGGTAGCCTCTGGCTGCTTGCAGGGTGTCAGGTGGATCATTCCTCCATCAGCTTCTGCTGTGCCCCCACAGGAACAGCTCAGTCCAATTTCCGTGGCAAATTCTCACAGATCACAGACGGCTTCATTTCTGGAGAAGACTGGCGACCCAGGGCAAAGAATAAGAGCCACGGCAGGGATGCCCCTCTTGGGTACACTGTGCGCTGGTTCACGGGGTACACTCTGCGCTGGTTCACGAGGTACACTGTGCGCTGGCACACTGGGGGCTCATGGGAGTGAGCAAAATGAAATGAAAAGAGTGAGTGACAATGCCAGGCCAAGGCTCCCCTCCCCTGACCTGAGGGGACCCGACCCCTGTTCACTGAGGAAGGAAGTCAAGCTGGGAAGCTGCTGACCTCCAGAAGACACCACACAGGAATCCAGCCCCCAGAGGAACGTAAGGGCTTTGGGTTGTTTAGTCAGTGAGCACCGGTATGCACGGAGCAGTGGACAGAGAGCGGTCACCACAGCAGACTAGGCTCCGGTTTGATGGAGCTGCTCTACCAGCAGGGAAGTCCGACAGCAGCCCACACACGCGAGCTGCCGGGTGGTGGGCTGCACGACAGAGCGCAGCAAAGCCAGGGGGCGGCGTGATGCACCGAACTGTCCCCACACAACATGTGCTATGGACCCTAATCCCCATTACCCGTGGCTATGGTCTCACTTGGGAGTGGCGGATCTTAAGTCTCTTCTAAGAGATAAACTGAGCGAGGGAAAAAGAGGAGCTAGAGACCACACACAGGAGATCGCCAAGAAACGCAGGCTGCCTCGCACCCAGAGCGAGCCTCCCAGCACAGCTGGTGCCCTGCGTTTGGACTCCTCGCCTCGGGAATTGTGAGAAACAGACTTCTCTTAAATACGTGTGGCATTTCTCTTAGAGGGGCACACAGAGAAGCTCTCTGAGGGTCTTCAGGGACGGGAAGGATGGTCTCTCTCAGAAGAGTCCCTTTCCTGGAGAGACCGGCAACGGGAAGAAGGTGAGAAAGTGAGCCCTGAGGGGATGGACCTGCAGGGAGAGCATTCCCGGAGGTGAGACCCGGTAGTGCCCTGGCTGGGAAGCAAGGAGGCAGAGCCAGTGTGGGTTGAGCTGGACATGAGGTCAGGCCAGCGAGAGGGAAGAGAAAATCATACAGGCTTTTGTGTTTTTTAAAACCATTCTACTCTGGCTCTTGAACCTCTTTTCTCTGAGATGGGATATTGTTGGAGGTTTCAAGCAGAGAGCGACAGGACTGTTGGGAAGGGGAGAGCCTGGCAGTCAGGACAAAGCTGGTACGGAGAAGATGGTCATTCAATGAGGGAGGGGCTGGGGTGGTGCCCCCAGAGGTGAGAAGGGATCAGAAGGGATTAGCTCCCTGGCTGGTGTGTCTGTGCCCTTTAAACAGCTCGTGCTTGAATACTCACTTAAAGGGTGGCGATTTGAAACAACCTCCCCGCCTGCCCCCAGTAGAGCCACAGAAGAAAGGCCGGGCTCTCTGCTTCCATAAAGATGACAGCCACTAAACCCTACGTGCGGAGCAGTCCTAACTCTGTAACACGCAAGGTGGAATCTACTCCACAGTAATGAATTTAGTGTTTGGTTTAAAGATTTGCACATTTTAGCGAACATTTAATGAGAGAAACCGAAAGCACCCAGCTCACCTGCTTTGGATATTTGAACGGAATTCAATAAATACAATAACAGACCCGTTGCTCCTGTAACAGATCCCAGAAGTGAAGGTGCAGCACAGTGGGGGTAAGGGAGCGGGGAGACTGGGGGTGATGGCAGGGCCTTCTCCAGCCCCTTCCTACCCAGCCAAGACCTGAGGCACTCACGGAACGCTCGATGCGGCCTGAATGAAGGCCAGAGGCGGCAGAGACCTCAGCCAACACCTCTCCCAACAAGCTCATTGCACGGATGGAGGAACACGCCCCCAGAGGCCAGTCTGCGCAAGCTCAGCTGCAGGGGCCAGGGCCAGGTTGCTTTCTGGGGCTCTTCTGTCCAGGCCACCCGGATGCAGGGGCGCAGGATGTCTGGCCTCACTTCCTGAGGAGGATGGGCCTGTGGTCTCTGAGGGATAAGAAGCCTGCAGCGGCAGCCGAACACTGCCTCCCCCTGGCTGGGGCCATCCCCAAAGAGGACACCTTCGTTTTTTCTAAGGCCACATGATTAGTCATGTGGGTGCCTGCGGTCCTTCTTCTGGAGAAATCCAACTTCTTCCCAGCTGGTGGGCTAACCACACCCCAGCCCTAGAAGCTGGGGTGTGACCCCAGCCTGGCCCATCGGAGCACTGCAGACTAGTCGGCTCGGGACGCCCTCTTTCGCTTCTCTGCCAGGCTAAACTGGGTTTCTGATGTCTGCAGCCCCAGTGTTTGAGTGGTAGCCTCCTAGCTGACCAGACGTGCAGTTTGGGTGACCACTTGCCATACATCTCCTGATTCAAGCCTCAAAATTACCCTTGTAGGCTCCCAGAGGAGCCCTGGTGACGTAGTGATTACGGGATGGGCTGCTAACTGCAGAGTCGGCAGTCTGAAACTTCCAGCCACTATGTGGGAGAAAGATGGGGGTTTTTACTTCCGTGACGTCTCGGAAACTCACAGGGGCCGTTCTACCCTGTCCTGTGAGTCCACATTGACTGGATGGCAGTGAGTGTGGAATTTAGGGAGCCCTGGTGGTATCGTGGTTACACGTTGGGCTGCAATCCCCATGGTCAGCAGTTCGAAACCACCGGCAGCTCCAAGGGAGGTAGACTGGGCTTTCTACTCCCGTAAAAAGTCACAGACTCAGAAACCCACTAGGGGTCACTATGAGTCAGCATTGACTCGATGGCAATATGGTATTTTTGTTTTTGTTTTTGCAGTGTGAAGGCAAGGCTTCCTGAGCTCTGGGGGTGCTGTGGATAAGTCATGAACTGCTAACTGCAAGGTTGGCAGTTCAAACCCACCAACTGCTCTGATTCTGCTTGAGATTTAGTTTTGGAAAGCCTGTGCAGGGTCACCTTAAGGATAGTGGGCGTAGGGCTCTACGCCAGTGGTAGAGGTGGGGGTTAATGCCAGGTCTTGAGAGAGAAGAGGTGGGCAGGCAGACAGGTGGAGGTGGGGTACTTCCAGGCTGTGAGAACACAAAGGCCAGGGATTAAAAGAAGCATTTGTGGGGAGGCTGGGTGTGGGATGAGGTGGGTCTCTAAGTCTGGGCAGCAGAGGTGAAAGTACAAGGGCCAGTGACCAGCCCAATGAGGCTGAAACCATACGGAGCGAGGAGGGAACGACACCGAAGGGCTTTCCAGCAGGGCCAGGGGCAGCCCCGCAGCCCACCTCCCAGCTAGGCCTCCCAGGAAGGAGGCTGGCTGCAGGGAGAGAGACGCCCTGGGCCAGCTCCCCAACCACAGGATGAGAGGAGGAGCCAGTGGAGAGCCAGTTGGGAAGAACAAAAATCGAACACGTGGTGGAAATAATTCTAGGGCGTGAACCATCAGAATGATAAGACTCCACAGTTTTGTACAAGTCACTCGACTTCCGGCCTCCTCCGCTTAACAGACAAGATGCTCCCTAAGGTTTCTTCTGGCCTGTGAATTCGGTAGCAAACCATTCCCTGGGACCAGGGGTCAAAAGCCCCTCAGAGCACCCCGACCTCAGGCCCACCTGACTTGACGCTTCCCGCCAACCCGTGCCAACATTTCTATTCGCCCCTGTCTTAGCTCCCAGTCAGAGAGTTTCTTCCCAAGGGGCCCGGGAACCCCAAACAGCTGTTCCTGAAAGCCGGCCTGTCCATTTCAGTGAACGCTG